TAAATACAGCAGCAGAACAACCCTAACAGTTTTTAGCAGAGGAATGAAGTCCCAGCAATGGGCATTTTGGTGGCAAATCAGCAGCCACATGGCACAAGGGACTGCCAACAATTTGTATCCAAACTGCTCCCGAGTCCCTTTCCTAGCTGAAAAAGGCTAAATCTGTGCAGGAGAGCTGAAATGTCAACTAAGAAACACTTCTGTTAACGTGTTGACTCTCTTGCCTTTGGATTTCACCTGATTTACCCGTTTTGTCTGCATGGGAATGCAAACTGTTGTTTCCTATTCGTCAGCCTCTGCCTATGGGCTCCATCTCAGGTCTCTGGTGGGATACAGAGCACTGCAGTTATATACAGAATAATTGCACAGGGAATCACTGAGAGAAACTAGGTGCTGGAAAGTAAAGTCATCTCCCACTGAGAAGGAAGGGTCTTAGCCTTTCCTGGGGCTGGGATTTTGTTTCTGGGCTCTTGCTGGTACTTGTTCTCAAAATGCTCAGCATCCTCATGTTTCTGCAAGCAGCTGAATTAATTTAATTCAGCTTTTTTTCCTTCTTTTATTCCTGTCCCCCCCCACCTTTGGTTTATTTTAAATTGTGGGGAAGGGAATTGCACCCAGGCTAAGAACCAAACAGCCAAAGAGTGCCTCTAAGGCACAAAGCCGGCATTGGAATGCACTGCTGGGAGACAATCAAAGAGAATGGAAAGTATTCCAGACCTATCACTGTGTCTAAGAGTGCATGGATTATCAATGTGGGAGTTTTTATACTGGAGTAGTTTGGAGCTAGTGAGATTACTCAAGATTTTTCTAACATTTACTAGATCAGCATCATTGTCCAAATGGGAGATACGTGCCTGTGCAAAGCAATGTCTCTGAAATGTCACCCAGTGTTTCTTGTTGCTGTTGGCAGAAGGCCCTGGCCAGCAAAGGCCAGTTCACTGCTGGCTCACTGTCTGACTCCGTGTCCCTGTCCCAGCTCAGGGCTCTCTGCCTGCTCACCTGCTGCCCCCTCTCCCCAGGCTGCCTGTCCAGCAGCCACTGTCATTTCATCCTGCCTGCAGGTCAGGCCCAGCCCAGCCAGCACTGGTTCACTACAAAATTCCCAGAGTGATTTTATTTGTCTTGTCCATCTTAAAGCACTCCAGGAGAAAGTTTAAATATTATTTCTGGCTCCTTTGGCTGCTAACTAACCGCATTTTCATGGAAGTTTCCATGCTGCTCTGTAAAACAGTAAGATGCTTTTGGCAGATTTATCTTGGCCTAAAATAATTGCAGTAGACTAAAAAAACAGAAAAAGAAAAAAGGATTTAATTTGTGCTTTCAAGTAATTTCTGTGTGAAATGACCAGACACTTGTGGAGCTGTGGCCCAGCCAAAGCAGCAAAGGTTGTGTTAGAGGGACCTGCCAGCACAACCTCTGCTGGGTGATAAACTGGGAACATTTTGGCTGGGCTGGGAACACGCTGACTAGTGAAAGGCTGTGAGCATTTGCTGTGCCTTGTGTGCTTGGAGGCTGTGAGGGAGGCTCTGGGCATTGCTGGCTGCACACGAGGCTGCCAGGGACTGGAATGGCACTGGGCTGGTGGGAGCAGCGCTGAAACAGAGGCTTTCAGCCAAAAACCAGTGGCAAGAAATGACAAGCAGCACCTCTGAAGCTGCCCCTGCAGTGTGCTGTCCTTGAACATCTCAGTGCAAAGCAGGGCTGGCCCCACAGCCCCACAGTGCTCCAGGACATCCTCTGGCTGCTCCCCTCCTGCTGCTGCCTGGGCCAGAGTGAATTTTCTTCCCGGTGGCGATGTGGGGCTGTGTTTGGGATTTGAGCTGAACACAGGGATTATAAATAGAGGTGTTTTTGCCCTGTCTGAGCAGGGCTCACACAGAACCAAGGCCTTTCCTGCTCCTTGTGCTGCCACGCTGGTGAGAAAGCTGGGAGAGCAAACAGCCAGGAAAGGTGATCCCAGCTGACCCAAGGGATGTTCCAGACCACAGGACACCAAGCTCAGTCCACAAGGTGGGGGTCACTGGGGTTTGTGTCCCACGTCACTGCTGCCTGAGGTAGAGCCCTGCTGTCCTGGAGGTGGCTGAACACCTGCCTGCCCAGGGAAGGCAGTGAATGAATTCCTTTACTTTGCTTGTGTGTGTAGCTTTGCTTCACCTATTAAACTGTCTTTGTCTCAAGCCACGAGTTTTCTCACTTCTGATTTTCTTCCCAGTCCCACTGGTGGGGGAGTGGCTGTGTGAGGCTTGGGTGCTGACTGGGGTTAAACCACAATGATGTGGGACCTTTTGTTCCAAAATTCTCAACATCAGACTAAATTTAGTCCTGGAGAAATCAATAAATGGTTGTCAACTTTAACACAAGGCGGAGCAAGGTCAATGTTAAATATTTCTGAACAATTTCACCCATGGTTTCAGGTTCTTCTTTCCAGTTGGGAATGACGTGATGAGAAACTTTCTACTGCTTTAAATATTAAGGAATCTCTGAGAATACTTAGAAACAATTAACTCAAAATGTTCTCTGGTTTGGGGTTTGATATTTTCTTTTTAAGTACAGTATGTTCTTCTGCTGATTCTTCATCCAGTCTGCATGCTGGTGTCCAGAGGCTTGTTTCTGTGCTGCATTTGTACATCTCTAATGAAGAATGCCCAGTGACACACAGACACACGAGGCAGACCTTGCTGGAGTGCTGGGTTTTAGTTTCAAGATCCACGTACTAAAGGCAGCTGAGGATGAGCTCTTTGTTTGTTGGGGCATGGAGGAAAAAGCATTTCTGCACGAGGCCCTGAGCACCACGGGAGAACAAATGCTCTTTACATTATTAGATTGTGCACAACCAGCTGGGAATTATATAAAACTCCACTTAAATATTTTGTCTCAACAACACAATTGAAAATCAGTAGCTTTTGGAGATTTGCTTTGAGTCAGACTGCTCCACCTCCTGCTAAGCTTTTCCATACATTGCTAACAGAACAGGGCAAGCGTATGAAAATGCAATTGGGACCTCCTGGAATTTTAATTTAAATGAGCATTTCAGGGGCTGGGAAGGAGGAGATGTGTTCTGTGTACAGTAACAAGCAGCATCTTGGCCGTTTAGCAGGACAGAGCAGTTTAAATTGTGTTTTATTCAGCAGCGGTCTGTGTGGACGGTGCTTGGCTGTAAACTCACTGCCCTTTGCTCTTCATCAGTCCACTTAAAAAATAAAAGTGTTGCTGCAGAAATGAGCCCACGAACCCTCTGTGCCCATTTGCTTTGAGTCAGACTGCTCCACCTCCTGCTAAGCTTTTCCATACATTGCTAACAGAACAGGGCAAGCGTATGAAAATGCAATTGGGACCTCCTGGAATTTTAATTTAAATGAGCATTTCAGGGGCTGGGAAGGAGGAGATGTGTTCTGTGTACAGTAACAAGCAGCATCTTGGCCGTTTAGCAGGACAGAGCAGTTTAAATTGTGTTTTATTCAGCAGCGGTCTGTGTGGACGGTGCTTGGCTGTAAACTCACTGCCCTTTGCTCTTCATCAGTCCACTTAAAAAATAAAAGTGTTGCTGCAGAAATGAGCCCACGAACCCTCTGTGCCCATTCCTGGGGGAGTTCATTCCCATCCAGTGAACTCCTGTCAGGATGTGTGAACCAAGATCTGCCCTGTGCACGAGGGAACGAAGAGAACAGAAAACTGTAGGAGTTTGATACATTAATTAGGTCACAGCTCACAGAGAAAGCAGAAATTGATTCCTTAAGGTGAAAAGAACAGGCACTTAAGTGGCAATGACACTATTCTGTAAAATCTAGCACTTTTGGCAAGGGGCAGGCAGTAATCAGATCCATTCAAATATATAAATCCAGACTCACAGTGCCCAAGGCCAGCAGAGAGCATTGTGATGGTTTATTCCCCATCACGGGGGTCCTGGAGCACCTTTCACACAGATTTATATGAGTGTCACTGAGTGCCAGCTGAGGGAGCTGGGCTTGACTCAAAAATCAGACCAGCTCAGATCAGGAGCAAGAGCACAGAAATTGCACTGCTACAAAAAAACTCATAGGAGAAATGAGGCACGGGTGCACTGAGTGTTCAGGTAAGAGCACGTTTGAGTCAGCAGCAGCTGCAAGCAGGGCTTAAAGCACCCCTGTGAAATGAAGGGAGCAGAGGGAGCTAGTGCTGTTCTGCAGAGCAGTACAAAAATGGATCAATGTGCTTCACGCGTGTGTGTGCAAACCTGCAGTGCAGCAGGTTTAATCAACAGGAATATCACGGGCGTGCGAGGCGAGCCGCGCTGGCGGCTGGCGGCCGCTCCGGCCCGCTGCCGCTCCCGGCGGCGCCAGCCCCGCTCCCAGCCCCGCAGCTCCCGTTCCCGGCCCCGTTCTCATCCCCTTTCCCCTTCCCGGCCGTTCCCGTTCTCATCCCCTTTCCCGTTTCCGGCAGTTCCCGTTCCCGGCGGCTCCATCTCCGCTCCCATCCCGGTTCCCGCTGTTTCCCGTGGTTCCCGTTCCCATCCCAGTTCCCGTTCCCATTGGTTCCATCCTCGCTCCCATCCCGGTTCCCGTGGTTCCCGTTGGTTCCATCCCGCTGGTTCCCATCCCGGTTCCCGCTGTTTCCCGCGGTTCCCGTTCCCGTTGATTCCATCCCGCTCCCATCCCGGTTCCCGCTGTTTCCCGCGGGTTCCCGTGGTTCCCGTTGGTTCCATCCCGCTGGTTCCCATCCCGCTCCCATCCCGGTTCCCGTATCCCGGTTCCCGCCGTTTCCCGGGGGTTCCCGCGGTTCCCATTGGTTCCATCCCGGTTCCCGTATCCCGGTTCCCGCCGTTTCCCGCGGGTTCCCGCGGTTCCCTTTCCCGCTGGTTCCCGTATCCCGGTTCCCGTTCCGGTTCCCGTATCCCGGTTCCCGCCGTTTCCCGCGGGTTCCCGCGGTTCCCTTTCCCGCTGGTTCCCGTATCCCGGTTCCCGTTCCGGTTCCCGTATCCCGGTTCCCGCCGTTTCCCGCGGGCTCCCCGGCGCTGCCGGAAGCGCGGCCGGAAGCCGCGGGGCGCGCGCGGGCCGGGCCCGCTGCCGGAGCCCGGCGATGGCGCTGGCGCTGCTCGAGCCGCCGTGGCCGCCCGGCCTCCGCCGGGACAGCCCCGGCCGCGCTCACCCCGCTCTCCTTGCAGGCCGTGGATGACTTGCTGCGCTGCGGGATTTGCTTCGACTACTTCAGCATCGCCGTGATCATCCCGCAGTGCTCGCACAGCTGTGAGTGCCGGGCGGCGGGCGGCGGGGACAGGCCGGGCCGGGGCCGCTCCGCCTGGCAGAGAGGAGGGTCTGGAGCTGCGGGAAGCACGGGCACAAACTGCAGTGCAGTGCCAGCACGAGGGAATGGCTCCGGCGGCCGCGGGCAGGGTTGGGTCACAGACTCAGAAGAGGCTTCCCTGCAGGGTGGGCAGCCCTGGCACAGGGGCCCGGAGCGGCTGGGGCTGCCCTGGATCCCTGGCAGTGCCCAAGGCCAGGCTGGACACTGGGGCTGGAGCACCTGGGACAGGGGAAGGTGTCCCTGGGACAGGGGAGGATGTCCCTGCCATGGCAGGGCTGGGATGGATGGGCTTTAGGGTCCCTTCCCACCCAAACCAGTGTAGGGTTCTGTGATTCTCTTTGCCGTGGCAGCTGGGAGGAGCTTTGCAAGATGGAAGCAGCCAGAACCTTCCCTTGCGTGGTTCCTGGTGTATTGCAAACATGTGACATCTCGCGTTCTTCATTTAAATATCTTTCTTAACGTCTTGAGGGTGGTACAAATGCAAAGCTCTATGTGCAAAGCATTAAGAGCTCAAATTTTCCATGCTGCTCTGTCTGCCCTGGGAGATATCTGCTGGAACCTGCCCCAAGTGCTTTGCTGAAGCCAGGCTAGGAGGGAAGTACCTTGCCTTTTCTCACGTTAAAATAAAGACTTGTGATTGTTTGGTTCAGAAACTGTAGCACTTCCTTCCCTGAAGGGGGACATTGTAGTTTGGCAGTGAAGTTTAGTTCAGCTTGGCAAAGCTGTCACCACTGAAGCTGGTGTGGGGAGCCACAAAACTGGAAATTCTCTTCACTGGCAGGTGCTGGCAGCCTGGATCTGCCACTTCACTCCTGTTCATGCACTTAAAGTTTGTTTCTTTATGGGTTTCTCACCCTATTTCACTTCTTACTATGTATGTAGTAATTTTTGAGCATTTAGACGGATTTGTGGTTTTAAGTGTTAATTGTTGCATTAGACCAGGTTGGATTGGCCTTGGAGCAACCTGGTCAAGTGGAAAATGTCCCTGCCCATGGCAGGGGGTGGGATGAAATGAGCTTTAAGGTCCCTCCCAACCCAAACCATTCTGGGATTAATTAATGCTCTGCTGCTTTTCCGACACATTCCCAGAGAGTCTGTGAGTACAGATCTCTTCAGGAGCTGGTGCTGAGACCCTGACCCACGATGATCTAGCGAGGGAATGTTTTCCTGGAGAATTATGAGACTTTTAAAATCCCGAAGTGGCCGTGAAAGCTCAGGGATAATTGACAAAGTGTAACAAACCCGGAGATTTACTGTGGCAGTGTGGCGTTTCACCTGCCAGTCTGTTGAGGCTTCCTGGGATGGTGGGGTGACATTAAGCTGCCTCTCAGCATTTCAGTGCTGCCTCCCCTCCTTTTTAGCCTCTTCCTTCAACAAGGTGGCGTGGTTTTGGAAAGGGGCAGAAGGGCCTGGGGAAGAGAGGGGATTGTGAGTTTGTCTGGGGCTATGCAGGAAAATGAAAATGATCAGCATTAGTCGTGTCAAAACCCCAGCATGGTGGGGGAGTGAGCAGTGCATCCACTGCTGTAGTGGGGGGGCTGATGAAGGGTTTCTGCACTGGGGAGCAAAAGGAAACAAGCATCAGCTCTAGGTGGAGGAGCTGATGTTTGGTTATGAAACACGTTTGCACAAAATAGGGGTTCTTTTGCAGCAGTGATAATCCCAATTCCATGTGAAAACGGCGTACTTTCAATATTTGTGTATTGTGGAGTAGCTTGCATTATTGTACAACAAGGAAATCCACGGGCAAGGGTGTGGAACTGCATTTGCATTCAAAATGATGTGCTTCCTTTTTCCAGATTGTTCCCTTTGTATCCGCAAGTCTTTGTCCTACAAAACACAGTGTCCAACATGTTGTGTGGTAAGTGTGCCTTTGGTTTGGGTTTTCCCCTCAGTTTATTTTTTATCTTTTGGCAAATCTCAGGAGCTTTTCCCTTTGGACTATGTCAGATAATCAGTTCTGATTGCATGGGCAAAGGGTGGTGCTCTGCATCTGGAATTCTCCTGTTCCAGGGGCACCCCTCTGTCGGTGCAGGCAGAAGGGGATGGAGCATCAGGCCTGGGGTTGCCTCAGGGCTGTGTGTACATTCTGGCACAAAACATTTAAAGTTAATTTGTTAAAATACTCCATTGTTTAAACCAGCAGTGCTGAAACGTAAGTGCTTTATTTTCTGTGAGTGGCCCCATTTCATCTCAAAAATAAAAATAAAATACAAAAAAAAATTAAAAGCTTTGTTTAAAAGAAGAGCAGAGAGAGTTGCAGTGAGGTAAAAATCAGAAATTGTTTATAAAGAATGAAATGAATGCACAAAGGCATAATTCATATTTTCATTCCATAATCAGAAGATTAACATTTCTCTTCATCCGTTTTCACACTTTGCTGCTTAGGATTCTTACCACCTTCAGAAGATGGTTTGGTTTGGTTTTCAAAATCATTAGACCTGTGCTCCAACTACACCTGGGCACACTTGACTTTGTTGCTTTAGCTTTATGCTTTGTTTTTACCTCTTACCTTAATATCCCAGACTTAAGTTCTCAGACAGTTATTTTAATGTTATTTTGGGGGAAGAAGTGTTTACACTTTAAGCATCTTAATTGCTGTAGCACTTTAGTGGGGGTAGTTGAGGCCTCGAGCCAAGAAGCAACTTATAAAGAATGAATTGAATGCTCAAAGGCAGCTCATAATTCATATTTTCATTCCACAATCAGAAGATTAGCATTTCTCTTCATCAGTTTTCACGCTTTGCTGCTTAAGATTCTTACCACCTTCAGAAGATGGTTTGGTTTGGTTTTCAAAATCATTAGACCTGTGCTCCAACTACACCTGGGCACACTTGACTTTGTTGCTTTAGCTTTATGCTTTGTTTTTACCTCTTACCTTAATATCCCAGACTTAAGTTCTCAGACAGTTATTTTAATGTTATTTTGGGGGAAGAAGTGTTTACACTTTAAGCATCTTAATTGCTGTAGCACTTTAGTGGGGGTAGTTGAGGCCTCGAGCCAAGAAGCAATTTATTGATCATTTGAACATTTTCTGGGCACTTGCTGTTTTCACTGCATTTGAATGTTTGTTTGTTCAGGTTTGTTTTGGTTTTTTTTTTTTTTTGCTTTTTCTTTCTTTCTTTTATAGGCAGTCTCAGAATCTGACCTGAAAAACAACCGGATTTTAGATGATCTAGTGAAGAGCTTTAATTCTGCAAGGTATTGATGTGATTTTATAGCTGCTCTCTCTGGTTTGGCAGCTGGCAGGGTGTGACTGTGTGTGACCAGACCTGGAGAGGAGCGCTGTGAGAGCTGAGCAAAAGAGTTGTGGTGACACAGAAGCTGTGTCAGAGATGAATGTTTACACTGTGGAGAAATCCTGCAGTGTTCTGGCTGAAGGTTGCTGTGCACTCAAGTGATGTGGAGGTTTTACAAGCTTATTTTGGTTCTGTTTCTGGTTAGCTGCTCTGGAAGTCTCTGCCAGTGTGTAGGAAGTCAACAGCTGTGTCAGGATTCTCTGGGGGAAATAATGGTAGCAAAGATTTTCTTCAGGTGTGTGCAGGGGACATTCTGAATAGAAGGATTTTGTCCAGTGGTTATGGTCACCTTGCAAGAGCATTCTTTTGGTGAAGTCACTGGCTAGGAAAATACAGGTATTGAAAGACTAGAAATGTGAGTTTTCTTGGGTAAGGAAAGTAATGGAGTGCTGTACTTTCAGCTTGATTTCTTAGCTACTTTTCTGTTTGTTTTTAATTAATTTTTGAGCTTCACATCCCTTTAAAAGACAGGAACAACAGAGTAAATACGACTTGGTAAAATATCACAACAGTATCACAACGTGTATCACATGTTGATGATACATCAGTAGATACACGAAGCTCCTGCTATTATCTGTTTTCTTTGGATGAGAAGCTACTCTGTGACTTGCTGGGAATTCTATGGGTGTTCCTGTCTCTGTAAGAGACAAATGCACTTTCATCTTTTTCTCTGAAATTAACTTGGAGCTGGAAGTCAGTGAAACTCTTGGCTTCGTAAGTGACAAGAAGCAGAGTTCAGTTGATGGCTTTGTTTCATGAGAGAATTTTTCTCTGATGAAGATCATAGAATGTAGATAGATCTAATCTTCTATATGACCACTACTAGATTTAATTGATTTATTTGAGTAATTTAAATCCTACGGTTCTCCTGTTTCAGCTTGAATTCTGGTCCTTCCTAGTGATAAATGGAGTACTATTTTTTTTGTTAATGTCTAATTTTGTGGGGAACAAGTAGTGCTGACTTGGCTCCATTATGATATTGAATCTTAAACGTTAATTTTTTTTGGGCTGCTTTAATGGATTAGTATAAATCTCACCAGTGAGAGTAGTTCAATAACCTTTTCCTCAGTCAATTGCTCACATGAGGCTGGCTCGGTGGGGCTGTGGAGCCCAGTGTGGCCGAGCTGAGGGGGCCAGTGCAGGGTGTGGGTGCAAAGGCTCCCTGCTGGCTGCTGCTGGGACACCCTGGGGGAATGCAGGCAGTGCCAGTGTGGTGTCAGGGCTTGGCAGCTGATACTGCTGCAGACTTCTCTCTCTGTTCTCTCTCCCCCCTCCTTCTCCATCTGCTTTGTTTCCCCTTGGCTGTCCCCAAAAACAAATCCACAGTCCAAGGGTTGAAGGGCTCGGCATGTTTGAAAGATCAAGTATGTTCTAACTTGACTTTGAGCCTTGGGTAGTTTGATGTTTATGAAAATTAGGCCTTAAATCTTCTCAGTATTTCACAAAGTGCAAACCCATTTCTTAAGTCGGGCCCGGAGGGGAAGAAAATGGTAATGTTGGTGGCACTTAGCAGAGTGAAAGCTGCGCTCCAAGGTCAGTGTGTGCGGGGAATGGGAATCATTCCAAGCAGATCCCATTTGTGCTCCGCTCAGCATTAGGTGTTTGCAGGGTGCTGTGGGGGACGTGTGGGAGTGCAGCTCCCTCCCAGTGAAGTGGAGTGTCCGTATGGCCGTGGCTGTGTCTGAGTGTGAAGGGACAGGAGCGTTCTGGCCGGGCTGCAGCGGCTGTCGGGGCACTAACCCTGACCCTAACCCTGAGCCCAGGAGCCTGGGGGCATTGCCATGAGCACTTCCCTGCTCCCCCACCTGCCTGTGCTCCGGGGCACAGTTCATGGCTCTGGCCACGCCAGGACAGAAACATGAGGATCAGTATTTTCTCAAACTGACCCTAACGAAGACTTCTCTTATCAGTTGCAGTGAGGCCAGGATCTTTAAAAATAACAGGTGAAGTTTTGTGTGGAGTGTAAAGAATTGATTTCATTGCCCTTTACTAAAGAGATTATTTTGAGAAAATTTGTCAGTTTCTGCATCACCTTGTTAAATACAAAAGTAGTAGTGCTTGCTGAAAAGAATCTCTGGTTTTCTTTATACATAGGGAAGAAAAATGTTTTTATTGTCAGGTTTATCTCTGTTTCCTAATCAGGGTACCTTGACAGGTAGTGAGTCAGAGGAATAAACACATCGACTGTGGGTGCTGGAGAGAGCAGGTGCTGTCATTGCTGATGCAGTGATTGAGCAGGAATGCAGCAGGAATTTCAAGGAGATAGATTGTTTTAGCGCAGTTGGGACTGTTCTGTGTGAGTTCTTCCTAGGAAGATTCACAGCTCTGTCTCTTCCTCTGAATTTATTTATGTGGAAGCCCTAGATTCCCAACAGCTCTGCTTCATTGCTGCTTCAGCAAGAGAGAGGTAAACAGGCTGTAAAATGGGAGCCAGGAGCCTGATGAAGGACACTGAGTTTTTGTGGGTGTTACAGACCTGAAGGAAAAAAGTGGGAAGCTGTTTATGCTGTTGTTGAAGCAGAGGGGGGATGCGATAGGGGAGGATGTTTAGAAACCATCCAAAGTTAGACAGGTGGTTTTTAGCTCCCTGCCCTGGCCCATCCCAGTGCCTGAGGAGGATGGGTCTCGCAGGAGGGTTTGGGCAGTGGCTGTCTGGTGGAGCTGGGCTTGCTGACACCTGCTTGATTCATCTCAGCCTTCAGAGGGAAGGACACTGCTCTGCTCGTAAACTGAGCGTTGTCAGCTGTGCTGCAGTTACTGCTTTGTGCCAGAAAGGTGAAATTCTGTCAGCTCAGAGCTCGTAGCAGTCCATTAAGTTCTCGAGAGTATCACAGATAATGCTGAGACCATACACAGTATGCAGAGGTTTTTGAAGACCGTGCAGAACTGATGTTTGCTGTAGGATCAGCTCCCAGGTGAGCTGGCCAGGCTGGTGATGGCAGAGGCTGGACCCCTCCATCTCGCTGTGCTTTCTCTGGGCTTGCTGAATGATGGATGAGCTTCTGGTCTGGTCATGCTTCTCCAAATTTCTCCAATCACACCCGTCAGAGTTTCTGTGATTAGTGAGGAATTTGAGTGGTTTGCTCTGATGCTGAGGGAGGGGGTGGCAGGTGACAATGTTCCATTGGAGAGCCCAGGGCTGTGCCAGGAGCATCCGCTGTGCACTGTCTCTTCTGTCCCTGTCCTTGGGGTGTGGGACTGTGAGATGTCATCACCCAGCTGCTCCTGAGCCAAAACCCCATTCTGGGAGAAGCCGGTGTGCGCCTGCTCCCTTCTCTTTGCCCTCAGTCCTAGCATTTTCACAGCCAAAAGCAAGCATGTGCTGGCAAACAAGTTCTGGAGCTCCTCACACCGTGCAGCGTGCCAGCTGTGTGTTCTCTCCTGGTGCTCCTAGGCAGCAGCTGTTGCAGTTGGTGTTGGAAGCTCCCCCAGTTCCATCCCCCCCGGCCCACAGCCAGCGTCCAGCTGAGAGCCACTGCAGCCCTGTGTCTCTGCCAGAGTCTAAAGAGGTGCCAGGGACTGACAGCTCCTTAAGAAAGGACAAAGTCTGCCCCTCCACGAGGGCAGGTGGCCTGGCATGGACTGGTCAGAAGAGTTTCAAAACCGAGGAACGCCATGACCTACACGGCACTTCTGCAGAGGCTGGTGGTCAACACAGCCAAGGGAGGTCACAGGAGATTCCTGGGAGCACCCAAAGTCATGAAAAGCCTTCTACATCTGTGCTCAAAGGAGACAGGAAAGGTGAGGTGTTTGATTTCTGGTGATGTCCTGCTCTCCCCATGTGTGGCTGGCTGTACATGTTGGAGCACCCTCAGAACCTGGCACCCATCCTGTTTCTTCTTGTGGCTCTGGTTTGATTTCTGGTGATGTCCTGCTCTCCCCCATGTGTGGCTGGCTGTGTGTGTTAGAGCACCCTCAGAACATGGCACCCATCCCATTGTGGCTCTGGTTTGATTTCTGGTGATGTCCTGCTCTCCCCATGTGTGGCTGGCTGTACATGTTGGAGCACCCTCAGAACCTGGCACCCATCCCATTGTGGCTCTGGTTTGGGTTCTGGTGATGTCCTGCTCTCTCCCCATGTGTGGCTGGCTGTGTGTGTTAGAGCACCCTCAGAACCTGGCACCCATCCTGTTGTGGCTCTGCTCTGTGCTGGCACGTCCAGCTCCTTCCCCTTTAACTGGCCCGTGCTGCCTTCACAGCACTGCTCGTGTGGGACAGCTCTGCTCCCAGCCTGTTCTTCACAGGAAAGCTTGAGATGCTGCCAAGCAGTTAAGTGGAATTCAGTGCTTATGGATTCCTTTGCTTTGAGTAACAACACAGAAAAACAATAGTTGTGCAACAGTCTTAGTAAAAATGAAGTAATTTCTCTTCTCCTTCCCCCTAATGACTAGACAGACACTGGCATTTATTCTGCTCTTTTATCCTTGAGCAGGTTATTTTATAACATGTTTGTTATTTGAGGGTTGAGCCTGAACTCAAAATGAGCATGGCAGCAGTTCTGTTAATATTTCTGTTCCCACACTCTCCAGCAGTTACCTGCTTTATTCTTTTGTAATTCTAGAGAGTTAAGGTGAATTTACTTTGAGGCATGAAAATGCTCACTTATACCAGTCAACCACAATTGAAATGGCAGAATCCTCTTAGTTCTGATGTGCTGGCAGCCATCCTACTGACCTAGCTAAAAGCCTAAATTGAAACAAAACACCATGTAGGAGTACACCCCTGGTTCTTATTAGTTCAAATTTAGCTGTTGTTTTGTTGAATGATTTATTCATCTGGAACTCTGAAGTTCATATGTATTCATTAGCTGGATGAATCCTGCTGAAAGAGGTACCACAGCCAGGAAATGAGCCATGGGAAGCCTGTCATGGTTTTACATCAGACCTGCTTGTGGTGATAAGTTAAAACTCTTGTGAAATTTTACTGCTTGTTTATTTTTGAGCAATTAAAACTTTCACTTGCTTCCCATTCTATGATCTTTTTGAATCTTTGGGCATGCATCACATGGAAATTATTTCCACAAATGCAGAGTAGTTGGTCAGAGAGTATTTGTGAAACACCTGCAGTGAGAGGGTTTAATGTTACTTGTTCCTGTTCTGAGAACTCAAATGTAGCTTCCAGTACAGTAACAGACAGCTCAGGACTAGTGTGCTTTGTTACTGTCCCAACTCTTAATTTCTCCTAGGAAAAGATTTGCTCTTTGCTGTTACATCCACGCTAGTAAATTCCTTCTCCCTTGCTTTCAGTGGAATGTCCTGTTTGTGAGGTTGCTATTCTGGAGCAATACATAAACAAACATCTGGATAGCTGCTTGACCAGAGGGGAGAAGAAGGACAGCCTGCGAAGGTAAGGAGCAGCTCTGAGAGCTTCCCCTCTGAGTGCACGTGGCTGGTTGGAGCTCTGCTGAGCTGAGAGCTGTGCTGCTGGGGTGTGACAGCAGTGCTTTGTGCTTGCTTCTGGCCTCCCTGCTGCGTGCAGCACTCTGAAATCACTGTGGGGATTGTGCCCCCTTGAGAAAGGGTCTGCATTGCCAGCTCAATCACTCTTTGGCTTTTAGAGGCAAGAAAGCAGTGGCCAGTGCTATAAAAAAGTCAGCACAGGGAGAGTTTAGTCTGTGCGTTGTTCTTGTCACCCTTCTGCTCCCTGGCATTAAAATTCCCTTCAGATAACGCCGATTGCCATTTTTCACTTGCTGAAGGAATTGCTTCCTTTGGTTCAGGTGTGCCAAGAGACATTTTCTTCAATAGCTGTCAGGTTAAAGAATAAAAATGGCACCTTTCTCTCCTCTCTGTGGGGCTGTTGAGGTTTCCTGAAGATCTGGATTTCCATAAGATGAATGCATTCCTTTGGCTCTGTGCCCCTGCCCCAGCATTGGTCACGGTCACCACATTCACATCACAAGTGGAGTTTCAGTTTGTTTTACTTACAGCAGAAATTTAGGTTGTTGTTATTTCTGACTGATCAGACTAAAGACCTGGGAGGATTTTGTACTTCAATGCTTGTTTTTCCAATTCCCCCGAAACTTGAATTAGAAAATATTTTTATGTTAAAGCTCTTGTTTTGCCCTGTCATGCTTAGAGTGCAGTCTGTAAGCTAAAGGACTTTCAAGATGAAAAAATGGTAAATGAATATTGAAATCTGATGTTACATTTAATTTCCATTTGGAGTGGTTTAGTGCTTTCTCTGTTCTTAATGAATGGAAAAATAAGCCAGGTCTGTCCTTGGTGTCACGCCCATGTCCCTAACAGGATTTAAAGTTCTGCTTATTTAATCTGCAGGGTGCTTAGGCCTTCAGCAGGTGTCAGAGCAGACACTGCCCTTGGGGCTGGCAGCTCTGGGCAGTGCCTGCTTTGTGTTTGGTGCAGTGCTTCCCTGAGGATGTCAGCTCTGTTTATTCTCAAACCAGGCTGTGCCGACGGCTCAGCAGTTTCAGCAGAACTGCTCATGTAGCCCCCAAGCTCCACAGGGGTAATTCCAACATGTGAATGTGTTTCCAGGGATCACCGTGTTTCTCAGGCATGGGGAAACCCAGCCAAGATGAGGATTCAAACCTCTGGTGAGGTGTTTTCCTGTGGCTGGCTGCTGGAAAGCTGTCAGTGTACTCCAGGTCATGCTGCTGGTGAGCTGGAATACACACCAGGCTTCTGTAGGACTTTCAAAAGATTTACTTTAATTATTCAGTGAAATTCTTTATATTTCCCAAAATAATCTGAAGAAAGCTTCCCTAGAGAGTGTATTGTGGTAATCCATCTTCTGTTTACCAGCCGTGCTACAGGGCTGGATGAGAGTAAATGAATTATTGACAGTTTTTGTGTAAGGCTTTTTTTTTTAACCTTGAAATTTCAATGTGGTAAGTCAAAAGTGCTGAATAGCTCTCAAATAAATCTCTCATTTTCACAGTGGAAAGCTGTTAACTGCTCTCTAATCCAGAGTAATGCAGCTGAGCTTTTTTTGCTGCAGAAACAAAAATGTCTAATTAAATGCTGTTCCTCTATGAATTGCTGCAGTCACAGAGGATGAGTAAGGCTGCAGATGGGTTTTGGCCCTTTTGTTTTTCCTGGTTTGAGAGTATCCCACCAGGAGGTGTAGGGAAGCCTGAGCTGATTTGACAGGAGGAAATGTTCTGCTAATTTTAGGTGACAAAATTGTGCTAGGACTTGAATTTTCTCTGGCAGTTTCCTGTAATTAAGATGTTTTCCCCAGCTGTGCCAGGAATGTTGAGTCCTGACAGAAAGCAGTAAATTTTGGCTTTAGAAGTTATTCCTCTAGGAGCACTGTTACTTATCTTTAATGTCTCTCTCTGTATCACCAAACTGCCTTTCTGTTAGCTGGGAACTGCTGCATTCAGGTACATAACTATTTTTCTCAAAGACGTTTTTCCAGAAAGCTGAAAAATCTCCTAATTTGAGTTTTGGCTTTATGCTTTAATACTTTTAATATTTCTCCAGCCGATTCAAGTAAGCCATGGCCAGCACTGGGGTGGAAAGCCCAAGTTTCTTTCATGTGTATGTTATGCTGAGTGGGTGAGGTACCCTTAAGTAATTGTAAATAGGTTCATTTTCATAGGAGCATGAATTAAATAAAGTCTCTCTTGTTTTCCTCTGGCAGTTCTGATCACAAAAGGAAGCTGATGTCCAAAGTTGTTTATAACCTGCTGTCGGATCGAGATCTGAGGAAGAAGCTCAAGGAGCACGGTCTGTCTACCTCTGGGACCCGCCAGCAGCTCATTAAGAGACACCAGGAGTTCGTGCACATGTACAACGCTCAGTGTGACTCCCTGAACCCCAAGTCAGGTGAGTGAGAGGCTGCAGGGAGCTTGCTGCCATCCCAGACCATCACTCTGCATTTCCCCTTCTCTTAGCTCTCGGGGTGACTGCTGGGAGAGCTGGAAGGATTTGTCCTGGTCAGTCAAGATCAGTGCAGAACACTGCTTTAGGCTGCTGGGGGTGCTCAGGCTGAGCCTCCCCTCAGTGCTGCTGGTGGATGGAGTGGCACCCAGCCTCTGCCTGGCTCACCCAGAGGGAGGGAAGAGTTCTGGGGTGTGTGCACTCCAGCTGCTCTCCCCAGGAGTGCCAAACTGCTCCTGTGTTCAGCACGAAGGGTGAATTGTTAAACACACACTTCAGATGCAGACGTGCATTTTGGGTGGTAGCAGGGAGCTGTGGAACACCAATAGCTGAGCTTCTGAGGAAGCACAGGTGCCAAATTCCTGGAGTGTGCTTAAACCAGTTTGGAACAGGTTTTATTCTTTCGCAGCTTAATGAGCTTTTGTTCTGCCTGCTTCACTGTATGGTGAAGTGTTTGTTTTAATAACTGCCCACAGCTGCTTGGCAGTGCTGTGGAGATGAAATGCAGAAAGAGATTTGTAAAAGCAAATGTCAAACTAAACCGTGCAGGGTTCTGCATAGCTGTGGCTCTAGTGAAATGTTGCAGTTATGTTGTTTATAGGCTTTGGATGTGTCTGACAATTGGTGAAGTCGGTTGTAATTCCTCTGTGGGCTTTCCTCTTGAGCCTGCACAAGGTTCCCCTGGAAGGTGGTTTGGGGGACAAAGCAAGATAAACAGTAGATGCAATTATTGTGTCTTCCGTTGAAACACCCAGTGTAAAATGGAAAATCTCTCTGAATTGTGTGCCACAAGCCCTGTTGTGTGCAGGAGGGAGGTTTGGTGGGATGTGGAAAGACAGCACCTTTGTCTGGGATTGGAGTCTGAGCTCTCCCTCTCAGAGGGCTAATGTTGTTTGTGTTTGAAATGCAGGCTTCTTTCAGTCTGTGCTGTTACAGCTTTTTATTACCCAGCTCCTTAGTCAGTGATCCCTTTCCTGTATTTCCAAACAGTTGCAGAGGTTGTTAAAGAGCTGGAAAAGAACGAGAAGATTCGGGTTCAGCTGGAATGTAACAAACCTGGTGAAAATGTAAGTGACTGATCTTGGTTCTCACAGAGGGGTGGCCAGCAGAAGCTGCAGAGTGGGCACTGGGAATGTTTGCCTATTGCTTTATTGTGGGAATTCCCAGCTTGCCTATTAGAATTCACATTTAGCATCCTGTAATGAACCTGATTTTCTCACACCACTTATCGTGGGCAGCCCTGGGTGCACTGCTGAGCTTTATGCCCAAACCCTTCAAGTAGGAGCAATTTTTGACAGCAATAAACATTCTTGAGTAAAGTTCTCCTTGGCCATACTGGAAGATTTTGACCCTTCATGGCAGTGTGGGGAATATTTTGCTTCCTAGAATTCTCTAGGATTTAGCTAGCAAATTCCATGCTTCCGTATCAGCAAGAGTGCCTGTTCTTTTCCCATGACATCTGATACTTTGGTGACTTCTGAAACCTGTTTGTTGAACAGTGGTAGGAAATACTTTATGGCCCACATGTGCTGGGTGTTCCTTAGGCTGGCTTGGTCCTGGTGACTCTGTGGAAGCAGGGCAGGACACTGTGGACATGTTCTGGAAATGTGGATTAATGTGATGAGGTACTGAAAGCTGGGGGGGGAAAACAAACAATTGCTTCTTCCAGTTTGAGGTCTAATTTCAAAGTCTGCAGCTTTATCATCTTTTTATTTAAGTTAAAAACATTTGTGTGGTTTCTGTAGAGCTTGACCTTCACAAAGGACCAGACAGAGGAAGAAATAGATGAGATCCACGCTGAATATCGTAAGTAACACGTAAATTTCACCTCATTTTGCTTTTAAATTTACTTCCTTTTCCTTTGAGCTAAAATACACACGCTGATTGCCTCCAAAGGCTTCTCTATTCATGCACTTTGTTCTTTCTTAGTGTGCTGCCATGTTTGCTGGCCATGAAAAGAGCAGAGCAGGGTGTGGGATGTGCAGCTGTGTGGCCTCTGCAGCAGAACTGCTCTGAAGGTTCTTCCTGAGCCCTCCAGGGCACTGCCCTTCTGCTCCTGGGTTTATTTCCTTGGCCTGTTGTACACATTTAGAACAAAAATATATTAAATGCTGCCTTAATTTTTCAAAGACAGGTATTTGGTTGAGCTTTAGATTGCTAAAAGGGCATGGCTACAAAACTAATCACTTGGAGATCTTGATAGTCTCAAGCAGGTTCACTGAAAATTGAGAAGTTTAAAAAAAATTGACAGGTATTTAGATTGCTAAAAGGGTATGGCTACAAAACTAATCACTGGAGATCTTGATAGTCTCAAGCAGGTTCACTGAAAATTGAGAAGTTTAAAAAAATAGGAAAAAGGAGAAAATAGAAAAGTATTTTAATGGGAAGATATGGTTTTAAAATTAATAAAAAATATTGACCAAAGAGGCAAATGGTAAGTGGTGTCAGGTAATTATTTCTCATAAAATAATAAGGAAGAAATCACAAGCATGAAAAAAGAACTGTATGTTAAAATGCAAGAACAGTTTGAGATGAAGAATTCTTATCAAATGCCATTATTTCACTGTAAAACAGATGGACTTTAAAAAGCTTTCTTACACAATGAAGGATTTTTTTTCCCTTTTATTCTACAGCATTTACACCCCAGACCCTAATTCCCAGCTGAATGAATGAATGAACTCTGGTGTAAATTCTGAATAAAAATCCTCAAATATATTTTTGTTCTGCTTTTCCATATGAAAAAACACCCTGGGGCTGTGAACAGCCTTGGGGAGAGGCAGGACAAACTGTTTGGGAGAAAATGCTTTTTTTCTGATGCTTTGCACTTTCCCAGGCTCTTGGCAATTGGCACGATGCACTGTTGGCATTTTTTTGCTGTTTATGAAATAGCAATTAATAGTTTGGCTTGATGAACCTGAGGATGGGAGCTCTGCCTGGCAGTTAGAGCCACTGTCATTTCCTTCTGCCCCACAGGACTCGGGGACACCTCAGCCCACTCCTCTTTTTTTGTGGTCTCTGTTTAAAGAGTTAAAAAATCTACAGGAAATACTTCTGTGAAAAAAAAAAAAAAATTGGTTGCCTTTTCTGCTTATAAATCTTTTCATTTGCCATGTTCTTCGAGGCCTGCTGCTTTGTCTGTGTTTTGAATATTTGTTGTTCTGTCTGGGGCTGGTTTACGTTGCTGCAGTTTGGTGGGATGTGCTTGGGGTGTCATTTCAGCACCACGGTGATTTACAGTGTAGCTGAACAGTGCTTGTGTGCCAGGACATTTCTTTTCAAAAAGCTTTGTAGTTCTGCCATGAGCCAGCACAACAAAAGATAGTAATGCTGGAAAAACTGAAGCGCCAGAGGAATTCCATAATGAGAGTGCAGCAACTCAGACACGACATCTGGGACAGAACTTGCTTTTTATTAACAGAAATTTTGGCCTTATGTGGTGTTTTCAGCTACTCAGGGAAAGGGAGTCTGTGTCAAACCTGTCTCCTTCTGTGGGGCAGAACTTGTTTTCTCATGGAATACATCAAAGAATTTCTTCACAGGAAGGGTGGTCAGTCACTGCAGTGGGCTCCTCGGGGGGTCACACAGTGCTTGACAGTCCTTTCTGAGGAGCAATTCCTGCTGACATCCAGCCCGGCCCAGCCTGAGGCTGTTCCCTCTCCTCCTGGCCCTGTTCCCTGGAGCAGAGCCCGACCCACAGCTGGCTGTCCCCTCCTGGCCGTGGGTCCCTCCCTGCCTGGCCTGGGTTAGGTGACCCACAGCATCCTGATGAAGGCACTGGGTGTTTTGCCAGCCTCTGAGTGAAGCATTTGCAGTATCAAGCTTAAACAATTCCATTGCTTTGGCTGAGCACCAGAGGAGTGCTTAAAACATGATTGAAAGTGCAGAGAGTACTTGCATTATTACCTTACTTAAAGGATCTGAATGCCAGCAGTGTGATGGGCATGACCCAGAGCCTGCAGTGTTCATCTGTGCTGTGCTCTGGGCTGTGAGCAGCTCTGGAACAGCACAGACACGGATTTGGGTCATTAATAGAATGTGGAACATATCACAGCTGGGTTGGTTTTCATCTGCTGTAACAGAAACGCTTTTGATTCAGTTTTTGGTGTCCATTTCTGCTCACGTCCTTGCAGTGTTTGTGCCACACCTTAGTCCTGTGGGGTGGTCACTGATGCTCTGTGCCTTTCAGGAAACAAACACAGAAGTGAATTCAAGTTCTTGGTGGATCAAGTAAATAAACGGTGGAAGAAAATGGGTGAGAGGAAAGCAGAAAGTGCTCAAAACAAAGAGGAAGTTGCTGTCAAAGGGCTGCCAGCAGCCACAGGTCAGTCACATTTTGTATTATTCCCTCTTGGACCACACTAAGAAGTGCTGGATTCCCAAAGAAATGATCCTCCATCTGTTGTTGTTCTTCTGGACCCTTTAAGGGGAAAAAAGCCCAACCAGCATAAAGATCAAACAGACCCTAAAGTGATTTACTGCTATTGATTTTATAGTAGTGTATTGTGTGTTGTGTGTGGATGTGCTTTATGTGGGGCACGTTCCAGTGGGTTGGAAAGGGGTGTCAGGTTCTGGTTCAGGTTTGCTGGAGGTGCTGAGGGTGGCCACATGGCCACTCTGGAGTGAAGGTGAGGTGGGTGCTGCTGGAATTGGATTCAGGAATTTTCTGTCCTGAGACTGAAGCAATAAAGTCCTTGGGCTCGTTTTAGGCTGTTCATGTTGCCCCTCTCCGACTGGCTGTGTTTTGTGTTGTGCACTGGAGCACAGTGGGAGGTGGGAATGCATGGCTCAGCTCCTCCCTGGCCGGGAGGAAGGGCAGCCTGCTGCTTCTCCATCCTCCCCCAGCCCCAGGCATCACCAGGTGTGCCTCAGAGCACTGCCTGGTCTCCTCTGCCTTGTGCTGCTTCCTGGCTGCTTTGGCAGGGAGCATCTGTCTTTGAATGTGGGCTTTACAAGAGCATTCCTCAGCCTGACAGAACTTGTGGATCTCTCACCTGAGTTCTGGAGAGTCCCCCTGCCACAGTGGACACTCAGGAAAGCACGGCAGTGTCGTTTGCCCCAGCTCTCACAAATCCCTGTGCTCTTCATCTGTGCCTCTCCCCAGTGCTGCCTCTTCCAGCACAGCTCTGCAGAACAAAAAGAAACGAAGACAACAGTATAATAGCATGAATTTTGTCCTTATGTTTCCTGCAGACCTTGGTGCAGTGCATAATCCATTCTGTGTAAAAGTTAAAGGAATCTCAAGGATAAAAGATTTTAAGCTGTTCCTCTTCTATAGCAGAAGAAGAGGCAATGTGTTATTGGATCATGGGGTCACAGCCTTGATTTCCATCTCTGGGAGGGAGAGATGGGCTGCTGTGGATTTTGGGGTTTCTGTCTCCTGTGTGAGCTGTTCTGTGTGTGCTGCCCTGCAGGCTCTGGGAAGAGCTGATGTAAAACCATGGAGTTTTTCCAAAAGAGTGATCAAGTAGAAAATAACTTGAATCAGATGTATCATTCTGCATCATGTTCAGAACGTGGCAGCACCTCATTTGTTTCTGGCAAACCTGCACAATTTCCATTACACTTTGTTCTCTGAGCTACCAATAATCCTTGGAATTTCAGTTTTGAGTTCTATGCAAAACATCTGCACTCGGATGACTGTTTATAAACAACTGAAAAAGCAGAAAGGTGATTTCCAGGGGAGGCTACAGATGCCTAAAGCCTGTTTCCTCTTGGTTCCTTGTTAACAGCAATTGCCTTTGTGTTAAACTGGGAATTGCAGCATGGAAAGGAGGAAGGCAGTAATGGCCTGATGGTGAGCTGGTAGATCCAAGGCTTTGTCTGCATTCCTCACCCCCTTGCTTTGGGTTCTCATGGAAGTGGTGGAATTGTACAGAATTAAAACAGACCTTTGGTTTGACTGGGGCTTTGTTGTTCGTTTATTTTAATTTCCCCCTCCCTCTCTCCAGTTGCCTCTCCTGTGCTATTGGTTGATGTAATTTAACCTCACTCTGTTTGTGGTGACATTTTAATCATCTGTTCCTGATTTACGTCATCTTGCTTTTCATCTTTAAGCTTGAAATATGTTTCCCAGTCTTTATAACTTTTAAACATGGGGCTGTGCTTTGTCTAAGGGGAAGGCTCCATAAGGATTTGATATATATTGGTGCTAAATAATTTGATTCAATAAATATTAACTGTGCTGGGCTGCGTTATTGCACAGGCCTTTGCTATTTTTACCCTGCTAATTTCAGAGAGTTGTGTTTCATTAGTTGGACAAGCGACTCCCTGGGATCTGCTGGTTGTTTTCAGCAGGCAAAAATATGCCCCTGATATTTAATTATGCCTGTTAGCAGGAGAGAAAGGGCAAGCTGAGCTGAATCCAAAGATTGTGAAGTTCCTGCACACTCTAATTAAAGTTCTGCTTGGCCATTTCTGTCCAAACCATTGCTGGAGAGGCAGAAAAGTCAGTGGTTTGAGAGGAGCATGGCTGGGGCAGAGGCTTAGTGTCCTGAGTGATTTTTAGTTAAGTAACTCACTTGCAAATATCTGGGGGTATGGCATCAGGGCAGTCTGTCTTTTCCTACCAGAATTTTTAACCTGTTTCTTTTTTTTCCTTTGGAGGGGCAGAAGGTGTCTTTTCAGAGAAGTGTTCATCTTTTCATTGAACAAAACACGTGACACAGAAAACAGCAGAAGGGTTTTCAATTTTTGGCCGTTGTGTTGTCTAGAAATTATTTTTCCTCTTAAATGAAAATGTCAGTGCATTGACCTTGTGTGAGCTGCATAAGGAAGTAAATCACAACTGAAAATAAGCCTGTTAACTTGGTCTGTAAAACTTAAAGCTCAAGCTGTCTGATGCAGGGGCTGAAGGGAGATGGTAGCACAAGCAGCCAGCAGCACTCATTAAGTGCTTGCTAATTTCTGAAATAAAGTTCCATCTTACGAGATGTGTTACACATCCTCACCCTTTATTTCTCTCCTTGTGCTTGAAACTCAACAGTGAAACATTTCTGGTTCTCAGGGAGTTGTTGGTTGGTTTCCTTTTTTAAATATACACAAAAAGAAATTCAACCTTTGAAACTGTCAAAATTTTGGAAAATAAGTATGTGGGAACGAGATGTTGGTATTTAAATGTTCATAACTTAATTTTTTCTTTAAAATCTTATCTCTGGGCTGCAGAATCCTAAACAATAGTATTTTGCATTATCATTCATTCTAACCTCTTGTCTTTCCTCTTGGCAGAACCTGGGGAAGAGGCTCCCACAGCTGTTGTCCCTGGAGAGGCCCAAGCACTCCAGTCAGAAATTCCTGATGGCCAAAGCAGTGAATCTCCTGGCCTGAGGGGGTGGCAGAGGTCAGCCTCTCCCGAGTTCTCCCTGTCGTCTGGCTCAACGTGCAGGTCAGTGGGGCAGTCACTGCCTGGGCTGAGCTGGGACAGCCCCAGTGCAGGGGCAGTGGCACTGCCAGGGAGCAGTGCAGCATGCAGCTCACACTCCTGCACCCGTCCTGGGCTTCAGCAGCCTCAGGAGTGGAGCTGAATTCATGTAGAATTCACTTAATGCTTCATAATGCCTTGGTAAGGGATTGCTAGTGTAAGTGTTCCTTTGGATACAGAGACAGGGAGTGGAACGTCTGGGGAACCAGGAGTGTGTTTGGTGAGTCCCTGCCACTGCTTCACCTTCCCATCTGCTGGAAGCTTTATTAGAGAGGTCCCAAAATTGATACACCCCCAGTCTTTTAAATAGTATAGCTGTAAGGGCCTGGAGGAAAGGTGAAAAAGTAATTGAAAACAAATACAGAATAATTGGGTTTTGCTATGTGTCTGAAAGCAAGAGAGCTAATCTTGCTATCTTGTTGATAACAGAATTGAGAGGAGAATGCAGGTCTGCATTACCAGGAATAAAAGGGTTTCCTGTGTTTTTAGAAGTGGGAGATAATCAGAGAAAGTAGCTGAAGGTCACCAGCTGAGCTAGGAGTGACATTTCTTGATTTCCCACCCCTTAGACCCCTAGTACCTGCCTCTTCCTCCTTGTTCTGCAAATATTAAGGCTAAGGTAGTGATTGGCATCATTGTTGGTTATTAACAGAGCAATCTAATTGAAATATTTTGACAGAAATCAATTTTCCTAAAGCCATTTTGGTTTACAAAGCTTTTAGAAGTCATTATGAGGGTTCTTTTCCACAGAGGGAAATGTTGAACTGTGAGTGAAAGCCTAGGGAGACTTTGGAATGGGGAGATGAGCTCGGGGGGATGAGAGAGCATCAAACAGTAAATGTCTCTGTTTTACAGGATCAAACTCTGCTGCCTATTTCCATTTACTTGCATGAGTGGGAGCATACAGTAAATATTTGTCAGTAAACAGCAATCTGCTGGCAGGCAAGCTCTGGGGAGGCAGGAAGGGTTGTTGTTGCCCTTTCAGAGTATCCCTGCATTTCTGTTTGACTTCAGACCTGCCTTCTAGACCAGTAAAGCCCTTCCCCTCCTGTGGCCTTTCCCCTCTATGTCTTTCTGCCTGAGCTGGTACTAGAAAATTGATAAAGGCAGCAAAGCAGTTTATTTGCTGTTCAGTGAGTAAGAAGCCTTTAGGTGAGCACTGGACTAGGTTTCTCTCAGTTAGTCAGGATGTAAGTGATGGCAGCAGTTTTTCCTTCCCTGTGACCAGGGAACTGTTCTCCTGCCCATTCCTGGGTCAGTCCCAGAGCTCACCTTGCCACAGCCCCTGCTGCAGTGTCTCGTTTCCAGGTGTGCTGTTGGAGCAGGTTCCAGCTCCCAGTGGGACCTGCAGGGGTTGGTGACCCTCTGGTCTGACTCTGGCAGGGGCAGCTGGAGAGGCCAGGCAGCCTTGGGGCATCAACCCTGCAGCTTCTCCTCCCTTGCATCCAGCTGCAGCACAGGGAGATGGGAGCAGCAGCAGTAATGCATGGGGGCTCAGCTGAGGTGCTGCCTGCTGGGGAGGGAGGGTCCCTCCTGTGTGACCACTGTTCCTGGTGCCAGCCTGTGCTTGCTGAGGAGCACTTTGGAGTGTTTTCCTTGGGGAAATAAAGAGAGGCTGCAGGGAGTCTCCCCCTTTCCAAATGCTGAGGTAGAGGAACACATACTGAAAAGAGTCAAATGTGCTCTTGGTCTGGACTGTCTGTCTCCTGGTAGCTGCTGTGAAGGGGCAGGAGGGCTGTGGCAGTGCCCAGCTCCTGCTTAGGCCTGTGGGGTCCTGCTGTGCCCACGGACCAGCTCTGGGCTGTGCAGCTCCACCCAGGACTGCAGCTCTTCCTCCCAGCCTGCTGCTCCCTCTGGGCTCTGTGTGCAGAAGGGCCCTGGGCTGTGGCAGCACTGCCAGGGGCTGGAACAACCTCTGTAGTCATTCCAGCTGCATGAAAGAAAGACATCTTATCACTGTGTCTTACCATGGGGCTGGGATTTTGTTAATTGTAGTGAAATAAAGCCAGCAGAACTCAAACAAGAATGATTTAGATGTTGATGGTTTTAGTAGTATTGTGGTATTGTATCAAGTAATGGGTTTTCTGAGGCTTGTGTTTTTCTGATAACGAGAGGGTATCCTTGCCAAGAGTAAATGTTTTTCACATTGAAATGTCAAAACTGGAAATACATTTGGAATTCCAAATCCGCATGCTGTGCTCCTGTGAGGAGGGCACTTCTAAATGGAGGGCTGTTGTATTGATGAATTAAAACAAAATGAGCATGTTGAGTAGCATATCGAATAGAGCAGAACAATTCACAAGTCAGAGTCGAAATGTTTGTTCTGCAAAAGGATGCTGCAAAGAAATCAGTGATTCTTCTGTTTTCTCCTTCATAAGGTTTGTCCCTTTTCAGTCTCATGTCAATACTTGCTAAGGGAGCAGTTGGTCAAGATTAGAAATTCATCCATTGTACACTAATCACTGATGAACTGATATTATTCAAAGGTCTGTGCTAAAACTGAAAAGATGAGAATTTTACTCCTGCTGGAGAAAAGCTGCAGGCCAGGCATGGAGGTTGTAGCAGTGCCCCAAACATGCTTGTGCTCTAGAGAGATTGATGATCCCACCAGGAGAGCAAACTGGGTGTTACAGATAAGCACCAAAACACAGCCATGGCTTTGAAAGGGTAATTTTTCAAAGCTCTGAAGTCACAGTTGCACAAGGCTTCCACAGGACTGCAGTGCTCCATATGAATAGTCCCGTGGAATTCTTTGACTCTCTGGGACTGAAGCCAGATTTTACGCAACTGCTTAAACAATAGGAAAATTAGAAAATAAATTAGGAGGAACAGTGATAAGCCAGTTAATGAGCTATGTGAAGGAAATATTCCATTATAAGTGTTTTATATAATGGCGATAATATGCAGTTCTTTAAGCAAATTATTTTTTCTTTTCTGTTCAACACAAGTGTCGGTTCTTGATGGCTAGAGTGAGACCTGAACAGCAGACAAAACCCAGCATTGGCTGTGTCTGAGATGCTGAAACACAGTCAGAATTTTGAAATCCTGGTGGGAAAGTGCTGTGTCCACAGCCTGTATAAATCCCTGTGCTGTTGGAATACCCAGAGTGACTGCAGTGTCTGCCAGGAGGGGTTCATGCCCGAGGAAGGGGCCTCATTTGCAATGTATGGGGCTTTTTGGCAGTGATTTAGGAGCCATTGATCAGGATCCAAGCTCTGGGTTTAGCAGGTCATTTATCCTTGGATTTATGTGCTTTACATAGTATGGGCTTTAGTTCATCACAGAAGAGGTAGAAATGGGAGTGCACTGGGTGGCAGCAGCCCTCTGAAATGGGTGCCATGGGTTTGGAGTGTTGGAAATGCTGTGAGCTGTTCCTGGGCAGCTGCCCCAGCCCGAGTCTGGAGGCAGCGTTGTCCTGCGCCCTGGCCATCGCTGTCAGATGAGAGAAGTGTACGAAAATGTGTTGATCAGTGCAATAATTGCCTTTTATAGATCTTCAGGACTTTTTTACTTAATAAATCTTGCCCTGCTTTGGCTCAGAGACGATTTGCATCACAGTGTTTGATCTGTGAGTTTTGGGCTCATTGTGAAAGGATGATGATACTTTCCTGCTATGCTGTTGATTCATCCTTTTCTTCCCAAAACTTTGAGCTGTAACAAAGGGCAGGAGCTGTGAGGCGTGGTGGCAAGTCCTGGGGAGATTGTCAGATAGAGGCAGCTGGTGGCCTCGGATGTGTGTGGTGGCAGCTCTTACCTACAGGCTGTGTCCAGGAGGACTCAGTCCCTGGTCAGGAGCCGTGGGCTGAGGACATCTCTGAGCCCTGAAAGCAGGAGCTGTGGTGGGGAGTGCTGCTGGGGCTTCAGCCACCACACCCCTCTGCTGCCAGACTCCCGAGGGAAGCAGTCCAGGAAGGTGCAGCAGATCCTTCCCTTTTCCCAAGGCACAGCCTCAAAGGTGTCTTCTTGGGCTGCAGAGGGGGCCGTGGAAAACTAAGGAAGCCTGGAGAGAGTCAAGGAAAACAGCAAGATGGTGGAGGCTGTGCAGGGTTTGCTACAGACAAGAGCCCTCCGTGGGCAAAGCCAAGGCTGGCAGAGCTCTCCAGAGACAGGAGCATGAAGCCATGGTCTGAAGAGAAGGTTCTGGAAAGCCGTGGAAGGTGCTGGTTGCACAGCTCACCTTGGGCACGGCACGGTGCCTGGCTGCTCCAGCAGCGAGCTCATCCCGCTCCTTGCAGGGGGACAGGATTGCAGGAGGGAGAAAGCTGCTTTCCCTCACTCCTGGGACCTGGGCATTCACCTCCAAATGCCATTGGTGAAATGAGGTGGGCTGGAGCTCATCTGCTGTGCCAGCATTGAGGGAAAACCTGCCCAGAGCCTGGGCCACAGCACACGGTGGGGTGGGAGGATGGATGGATGGATGATGGATGGATGGATGGATGGATGGATGGATGGATGGATGGATGGATGGATGGATGGATGGATGGATGGATGGATGGATGGATGGATGGATGGATGGATTGGATGGATGGATGGATGGATGGATGGATGGATGGATGGATGGGAGGATGCTGGCTGCTCACACAAGGCCGAGGAGGAATTTAATCTGCCTTAAAATAAACCAGTTCAAAGGGCTGTTTGCTCCTCTCAGTTTTACAGCAAGACATGTCATTCACACTTACATCAGCTTTTTTATCTCTATTTTAGGGTGGTGTGTTTATCTTAAATGAAAAAGCAGGGGGTGGTGGAAGTCAAGCCCAACTGAGGGTCAAGAAAGGAAGAGTTGACTCTTGGTTGACTGTAGGGGGTCAGGGGAAGCAATCCTGCAGGAATATGGAGTGGGACAATTGCCTGAGTCACTGGAGCTGCATTTTTCCCATCGTGGAGGCATGAATAAGTGCAGGATCACCTTGCCACAGGATGCTGGCTGCATCTTGAGCAGTTCAGGTGGAGAACTTTAATCGTTTTGGCTGTAAAAATTGACTCATCTGGAAATGGTCTGTAAAATTGTGGGAGAGATTAGTGACCTTTAGTTAAGAAAAGGACAGAAAACCTGTTGTGGGAATTTGTCTTGAATTTGGAGTCTGAATAAAGTCTGAAGGGGTACTTTGCTGTGCTTGGATGCAATGTAGGTAGATACCTCTGAATCACTGAAAAGGCAGAAAACATCGGAGGAATGAACAAAACAAAAATTGTAAATTCTGTGAACTCTGTGAGCTACAATTTGTAGGAAAAAACCCCTTCAGAATAAGGTGGTTGTTCCTCTTATTTAATTCATAATCTTCAGTTTAAGGGCTAATCATTGATGCTAAGAAGAGGGCGGAGTTTTCTTCAGGGAAAGAAAAAGTTAATTTAAAATACAAATTCACTTGATGATCAAAATTGCTTTTGTTTAGTTGACACTGGTTTTTGATAGTTGTTTTTCAACTGTGGCATATTTGAGGATTTTTTTTTAAATTTTCAATGCCTTTTGTCCCCTGGCATGTGGCAGAAAGGTGTGTGATTACCTGGGCTCCAAAGGCTGATGCCTGGCAGGGTGCAGAGAGCTGCTGCGTGGAGCAGTGGGATGCTGGAACAGATCCTGAAACAAAGGGCTGTTAGCTCCAGCGGGAAGTTCAGAACCCTGCTTTGCACAGCTACTGCAGCTCCTCGGTCTCTCACTGCAATTAGGGCGTAGGAGTTAATTGGGGTCTCTGGGGAGCGGTGCCTGTGGCTCAAGGGCGCGTTCGTGGCTCCGTGTGTAGGCCAAAGGTGGAACTCGCTCCAGGACATTTTGTACTTGGTTTTAAAAAAGTTTGGTGGGCCTAGACCATGGATTCCACATGTGAATTCTGAACACACATTACTGGTTTGAACGTTAGCCAGGCTTTTTCAGTTTTATTGTTTTGCGGTGACAAACGCGGCGGGTGATAAATGCTGCAGTTTTCAAGGCAGGGAAGTACATCATGTTCAGGCCTCAAACCTGTTCTTTTTCTATTTTAGGGGACTAAAAGCACACAAATAGCCCCGTGTCCTCCCCAGTTCTTTTTTAAAATGCAACTGGAACATCGGAGTGGGGTTTGGAAATATGATGATAGCTCATTCCCTGGGCATCCACTTCGTGCACCGAAAATGAGCTTTTGATGGGCTGCTAATTCTGAGAGTAAAAACAATGTTGACTTTCAAAACGTTTCCCATCCATTTTTGGTATCTTTTTCCTTTTTATCTATTTGACTGAATGTGTGTGTGTGTTGGAGGTTCTCTAACCTGGTGTTGTCCAGCCAAATTCCTGTTGGTTCTGTAGTTATCGCCACAGTAACAGCTGAGGACTCTCACTTCACAGGGGAGACAAAATGGCAAAGGTTGAAAAAATCCTGCTGTCTTACAGAAATTTTATGTCACATTGATTTATTTAAGAGAGACTTTAAAAAAAAGAACATACACGTTACCCCCCAAGATGTCTTGCAGATCCTCTCCAGAGAAACTTTCTGGTGCCTGAGAGTACAGAGGTGGTGTAGTTACCACCTAACAGACATAAACATGGAACTGTCTTGTGTGTTAAATAATGATAATGAGACCCCAGGGATAACTGAAAATGAAGTGAGACAGAAGCTTCTGGACTGTGCTGTAGGTTGGTGTTATTTCCCATTGCTGTTGGTACTGGAGGGGTTGGTCTCATCCAGGGGTTCTGCTGCCATTGCTGAGGGGAGCCCTGCGTTGCTGTAGGTGTTGCTGAAACAATTTCCATCTGTTTTATTTCCCCCTTCAGCACCAGTTCAGACATTCTGACAGATATGGAAAGGTCTGAGATGTGTTCACCGTCCTCTGACAGGTGAGTAGAATATCCAAGAGTCCTTGGGATGGGTTTAGGTCTGTAGTTTGCAGCTGGTGGAATCCTAGAGAAGCAAATGCCTCAGGAAAGTCAGATTCTTGAAGAATCCCCACAGTTCTGAGAAGCACAGTTTGGTCAGTGGATGTGGATCCTTGAAAAATGACACCTGGGTACTCCAAGAATCCACAGATGCCCAACTGAGTATCTTTATTCTAAGGGATATATAACTATATATTTGCTTTGCTATGGAAAATTAAATCTGATCTCTATTGCATTTGAGAATTCCATTGTTGACAGAGCTGTAGGTGAGGCTGATAAGTTGAACACGCTGGAATTGAGCATCTGTTTTGATTTACTTCTGTCTGAGATTAGAAGAGCACTTCTTGGTTGTTAAAGTCTCAGTGTCTGCAAGTCTCTGAATCATGTTTCTGTTTCCCCTGTGAAAAGCCACGTGAAGGGGCTGGAGAGGCCCGTGGGTCTGCGAGGCCCCTCCGTGCTCTGGGAACGTTTGTTCAGTCCCACCACCAAGCTGGATCTGACTGCTGGGCTTCACACAGATCTCCCTGGTGTGGCTGAGGGTCCCTCATGCAGGAGAGCCTTTTCCATCGTGGTGCAGCTCTGAAACACTGCTTGTTCCTGCTGTGTCTTCAGTGTGTCAGTCAGCAGATGTGGACCTGAGCATCTCAGAGCTGCCCGTTGTTATTTTCAGTTGTGAATTCCCAGTTTAAGACAAATGAATAGTCTCTGCAGGATGGATTCAGCCTAGCAGATGGCATAAAACAGAGTGCACTTAAAAGGAATGTTTAATTAGCAAAAGCTGTTGACAGATTAGTGGCATCTTTCATGTCAACACTATGTGGAATTTTAAGCTTCGAGGCTGAGTGACAGAAATCAGCTGCTTCATTTACATACAGCCAGTTTAAGATTTTTTTCTTTAAAATTAACCGTGACTAAAAATAAAACAGTTGTTGAGTTTTCTGTGGAAAATACTTTGTCCATAAATGAGGAGAGTGCCTGGCAAGGCTGCAGGCCCCAAGCCCTCCTTTTGGGCTAACCCTGACCAACCTCTCATCCTGCTTCCAGGGGCTGTGCCCCAAACTGCTTTTTCTGATAGAGCATCTTTATGGATTTGTCAGTGCCAGGGGTTGTCCTCAGTTATGGACAAGGAGTCTGGGGGGTTGCTGCTTTTCCTTGGGTTCCAAACTGGTCTCTGGGGACAGAAGGAGAGGCATTGTGATGACCCTGTTCCTGTGGGCTCTGGGGCTATGGGATGATTCATGGTGCTGTCACCTTCCTCAAATGAGAAGGCAGAGAAATATTTGTGTCCCCATCCTTGGAAGTGCCCAGGGCCAGGTTGGGCAGGGCTTGGAGCACCCTGGGATAGTGGAAGGTGTCCTGCCCATGGCAGGGTGGAATGAGATGATCTTTAAGGTCCCTTCCAGCCCAAACCATGCCCTGATTCACCTGTAACACGTACGTGTGCAGCCTCTGTGTGCTGCTCACGGTGCTTCTGCACGGCCTCGGTGTGTGCTGTGCTTGGGGCCTTGCAGACCCTGCCACCCTTGTGTTCTTTCCCCAGCAGCAGCTCCGTGGTGGCTCTGACAGGGAACAAGAGGAAGCTGCGGCGCATCCCCGGGGACAGCGGGACCATGCCCCAGGGCAAGAGGAAGAGGAGCTAGTGCTGCAGGAACGCCCAGCCCAGCCTGGGAATCACCTCCTGGCTTCTGCCCGTTCTCCGGGTCCCTGGGCACTGAGTAAAATGCTGCATTTTCACATCACTGCCATTCCAGGCTGGTGGGCTGTAGGTGGTTGAGGCTGGGCACAGAGTGCCAGAGCCCTGCAGGAGCCTGGCCTGGCTCCTGTGCCCGAGTTCCCTCGCTGGTGCAGCACCTGGGCTGTGTGCTGCCACTGTTCTGCTGGCATCCTGTGCCAGCCTCTTCTGCCCTCCTGGAGCAGCTGCAGGACGGTGCTTTGTTTGGGGGTGGGCAGGGACTGGTGGGGAGGGAGGGAGATTCTGCCCTACACTAACAGGCTTTTTTATATATGTCTGTGTAAACTTACTCAGTATTACGTGTCATTATTTCAGTTTGAAGTCCTGAAACTGGAAGGAGGTGGGAAGGTTGTTGGACATGAAGTATTTTAGCTTTCAAGCAAATAGTTACATTGAAAAGTCTGATCTTCCTGAGGAGGTGGTGGGATTCTGTGGTGCAAGAAAATGAAGGAAATGCAAGCAATCTGAACATCAGGGAGGGCTTTGAAAAATAAAGCTTGTAAGCAAAATATGAAAATTCTTCAGGTGCTTTTGCTGAGCCCTGAAGTTTTGGTCAGAGCCTGTCAGTGGGAGCTTGGCAAAGAAGACACAAAGTCTGGGTAAGATTGAGGGTTATTGTGTCTTGACTTCAGAGTGAAGCTGGGATTCAGAAATAATCCTCCTCAAGCCATGGTTCCCGGGAATATTTGTGTCTGGAACAGGCTAAATCATGGCAGATATAAACTGTCATAAGTGTGTGAGGTGGAGAGATGCAAAGCAGAAATCTGGTTGTGTTGATTTGGTACTTTTTTTACTAAATGAAACCTTTTGAAAGACAGTAATTATTGATGTCTGCTTTAGGGCTGCCTTTTTGTCACAGCAGCTCACCTCAGGCATTGGAATTGGTTGCAGTTGGCCAGTGAATGGTAATAACACTGGAGATGAGTATCATAAAGAGCTTTCTCCAGGCAGAGCAGCTGCTGCTGTTTGGGGGAGGGCCCTGGTGTGGGGACCAGTGCCTGCCTGGCTGCAGTGCTGGCATTTCCACTGGAAATGAGCTGAGGAGCCACGGGAGCTGTGGCAATTCCACGGGGCAGGAGAAGGCAGAGAGCAGCTGCCACGTTGAGTACGGGCATGATCAGACTGGTTTGCTGACAGCCCGTGAAGATTGGGGTTTTTGTATCACTTATTGTTGTCATCACCATTTACACTCCAAACTGGTGACCTTTGCCTGAGCTGGAGCTTTTGCCCTCCTTTGGACGGGGCTGTGGGTTGGTGCCACTTGTGGAGCTGACAAACGTGGGTGGGTGTGTGGCCGTGAGGCACGGAGGCCAAGGTGCAGGGAGGCTGCATGGAGTGACACGCTGGGCAGTGTGGATGGAGGCTTAGGAAAAAGCATGGATTTGGTGGTCTGCTGCCTCATCCCCACCCTGGTGGAGTGGGTGCCTGGCAGGACCCTGTCTCTCCTGCCCCAGCAGTGCCAGCCTGCTGCCAGGTCCTGCCTTTGCCAGGAGTGGCTGCTGATCCCCCGGGTGCCATAAACGATGCTGCTGCACATCTCACCGACCCAAGAGTCACAGGAACTGCATAACATAAGGGAAAAAACAGCAGGGAAGGAAACACAGTGTCCTCCCCACGCTGTCCTGTCCCTGCTCCCCTGGGCAGCGCTGCTCCTCCGTCACTGAGCCAAGGGCCAAGTGGGACAGTTGGGGACTGAGCAGCCAGGCTGGGGACACAGGTCACGGCCAGAGGAGCCGAGCTGGCGCTGACAGGGATGATGGACAGGGTGATGTGGGACAGGGCATGGCCCCATCGGGGGACAAACCCCACCACTGTGTTCTTTGGGTGAGTAATCACAAAGTTACTGCATCCTCCCGACACTTCTCACTGACTCTGATGATGTTTGTCACATCCCCTGCAGCCAGTGCCTGGTGCTGGGCTTGGCAGGGCAGGGCTGTGAGTCCCAGGGACCCTCTGTGTGTCACCCTGCTGGGGGTCCTGGGGACCCTCCATCCCCCCTGCTGCGGGTCCGTTCCCAGAGGGGATCCGGGGCAGATTCCTGATGGCTCCCTGGAGAACTGGGAGTAGGGCAGAAGCTCCTGGGGACTGAACCTGGCAGCCAGGGTGGTGCCGGGCCGGGCTGCCCCTGGAAAGCTTTGGGAAGGGCTGCTTTGGGCAGGGAATCCATTCAGCAGGAAATGAACTTGGTCACGGAGCAGTCCCTCAGGCCGGGGCAGAAGGGCGAAAGTGGAAACAAAATAATCAAAAAGTAGAAATGTCCTGTTCCCCCAGCCCGGCAGGAGCCGTGAGAAAGGCAGCAGGGCTGGAAGGGGGAGAGGCAGGAGCAGAGAAACCCTGCTGGGCATGGGCACTGCTGCCTCCCTCCCCAGGAGCCCTGTGCAGGGAGCAGCTGGGCTAAAACTGCACTTTGGGGCACGGGCATGGCCTGGCTCTCGGCTCGGCAGGGAGCTTCTGTGGATGTGGCAGGCAGGGATGCCCTTTGCCAGGCTGTGCTGCCTGCTTCTGCCTGCTCAGAGCAGGTGCTGCTGTTTCCAGACTTGCCCTCGAGGTCGTGAGTGAGCTGGCACACGGGGAGCTGGCACACAGCTGTCCCACAGCTGCTGGCACATGGGGAGCTGGCACACAGCTGGCACACAGCTGTCCCACAGCTGCTGGCACATGGGGAGCTGTCCCAGGCTGGCTCTGCCCTGGCCTGGAGGGATTCCCACCCAGCCAGCACCGGGCAGTGTGAGCTCAGGGCACGGGCGGTGGGCTGAGCACCCCGGGGGCAACCTGTGGCTGCTGGGGACAGGCAGGGGTCAGGGTCAAGGCCACTTCTCCAAGGGTGCTGTGTTTGCTGGCTGGAGTTAAAAATAAAAAACCTTTTGGTTGGAGGTGGGTCTGTTTTGGTAGAAGAACAGATATTCTGGAATTGGAACACCTCACACAAACAGAGGAATTGAAGATGAATCACAGTTACCTGCTGGGCAAACCCAACGCCAGGATCTGCTGCCCAGAGGAGAGAATAATCATGGTTCTGTCCCACCTGGCACTGAAAGAGCCAGAGGGCCTGAATTCAAAATGATTTGGACAAACTGGTGAGTTGGCTCTGAAACAACCATCTGGAACTAAATAAAGAAGAGCATGAATTACCAGCTTCAGGAAGAAGGTAAACACATTACTGCAAATGGGAAGTAATTAGTGAGGCAGAAAAGTTTGTATAAATGTGGCTGGACTTCATTTTTGTAGTGAAAGCTCAGTGCTCTGGTTAATTACTTGGCCCTACAGAGGCATTCCTGGAGCCTGGACTGGGGCTTTCATTGCAGGTGTTTGGTGGGAGGGAAATGGGGGCTGTGTGGAAGCACCCTCACCTTTGTGGGCATTCCCAGACACACCTGCTGAGATACTCACACATATCTGCTGGATTATCCTGGGATTGCAGCCTCCTTCATAGCACTTGGCTAAGATTGTTGTAGTGATGAGCACCAAAAGTGACTCACTTTCCTTTACATGTGCAAATAAATGTAGAATTTGCATATGAATATATTAAACCAGACTATATTCTGGTTTTGTTCTGGCTCTTCTTTACCTAACAAAATCTCATATAGATCTTGCTATTTATATTTTGTTCAAAGAGAAAAGTGCCTCACTTTAGTGGACAGAAGCATCAGTGCGTGCAGGGCTGCAGGCAGGGCTGTGCCTGGCATTGCCTGGGTGATGCATACCTCTGGCTCTGGGAAGGTTTGGTTACTGTCCCAGATCCCAGGAGGTGACACTCGGTGTGACACTGGGCGTGCAGGTCCCCTGTCACTGCTGCAGGTGGATCCCACGGGGCTCTGGGTCTCACTTTGCTTGTCATTCCCTCGTGATGGTGAGTGGGAGTTCAAGCACTGCAATGAACAGCTTGAAGTTACACACAAATGTAGGAATCCCCCCCAAAAGTAGTAAAATGATTTTATTATCTCCCAACAGCTTGAACCTGAAGCCTCTTGTTAAAAACCACACGGATACATATTTCAGCTTTATTATCCCAACTTGTTACTCCCAGGCCTGGGCAGGCTCCATTGGTTTTATGGGCTTTGAGGCCATAATGGGATGAAGCAAGGAACATTTTAGCACAAACAGCGTCCTTGGGAGCCCTGGGCAGAGCTGGCTGCTCAGGGAGGTGCCTGGGGAGAGCCTCTGCCCCCCTTTGCTGGCCTTGGGGTGCAGGGCAGATGGGAGTGGGGGGTTCCCCAGAATCCACAGACTGCATCCACCTGCGAGGCTCTGCCCAGCCTGCTGGGACTGTCTGGGTGCCAGGATCAGCCTGGATCAGCAGGATCCATGGCCTGCTCTGCTCTAAGTGGGTTTAGGCTGGTTGATTTGATCAGAGCCCTGCTGCTGTGTGCCAGGGCTCGCCCTGGGGCAGGAGGTGGCATCTCAGTGTGCTCTGGGATGTGTCTGCGGAGCCTCTGCGGGTTTCACGTGGAGTGCCAGGGATTGTGGGGATGGAAATGTGTGCTGGCTTAATGCCAGGAGCTTCAGGCTCTTTTTCCAGGATTTAGCTCCCAAAGCTGAGGCTCCAGTGCTGGTGTGGGCTGGAGGCCGTGGGAGCAGAGGCTGGTGGATTTCAGTGCGTTGGGGATCCAGAGGAAATGGTTTGAATCCCATAAACCTTTTAGGGACATGATGTGAAGGGTTCTCTAACACTGAGTAAGTTTAGTGTAGTCCCACACTTCTTTTCTCTTCACACTGGGAAAGAGAAAAGAAGAAATTATCTCAATATGTGCATGAACTCGTGTAAATTCTCTTTCTGCTGTCAATGCTTTATAGAACTCAAGACTGCAGCATCCAAGTAGATCCTCCCTTCTCCATTGGTCTGCATACACAGGTCAGCTTCTCTGGCTCCTTCTCCCCTCCCAGTAATGCTCTGATGACTCAGTTTCCAAAACCTTCCCCAGCCATGGCACAAGTCTGACAGCCAGGTAGTGTGCTGGGCCAGAAATTCTGGGACTGACCATGGGCTGCAGGGCTTTTTCTGTGTGTGTGTTCTTTTTTTTTTTTTTTTTTTTGTTTTTTTTTTTCTGTATTTTTTTTTTTTATTATTTTTGTTTTGGTTTTTTTTGATTTTTTTAAACTGTGATCAATCTGAGGAATAGGTTTTTGGCTGGGTTTTTTTGCTGTCGTTGTTGTTTTCAGCTAACAAAAAGAAATACCACGGCCAGAGGATGGTGCAGGAGGGGATGTGATGGATGACACAGCATTACCCAGGAGTGGAACTGTCACACAGGTCTGGGCTGGCTTATGTTGCCCCTGAGCAGTGAACTCAGTAACACAAGGAATTTGGTGTGTGGGTTTGGGGCCAAACAATTCTGTGCATTGCTGATATTTCCATGCTTTGTCTGCAAATCCTTGTTTCCTTTGGTGCAGATTGCAATATTGATTGTGTGTTTTTGTGGAAATCAGCACACCAGCTGGTGAGCCATGGAGGAATTCGATATCAGACTTAAGAATTTACTCATGTGCACATTTAAGAGAGACACAGTAAAGTTGTAACTGACTGTGCCCTTAGTATGTTCCCAAGCCTGATTTAACAGCCTGCATTCATCAGCTCTGTGTTGAAGCACAGGTATGCCTTTTCCCTGGAGATGTGTCCATGGCACTGCTCTTCTCTGTGGTTTTAGTAGATTTACCAGAGCTAGGCTTCCTGCAGGCTGAGTGCAGGAGGTGAGGGCTAGGAAAAAATTCTAGGGTGAAGAAATTCCCATGCAGGAGCAGCCAGGTACCATATCCTGGCTCTCCAGCCTGCAGTGCCTGCTGTGGGCTGCGGCCATGCACGAGTTCATGGGCGGCTGCAGCTCCATCTGCAGAGCTGTGGCCTGGCCTTGACGTTTTGCCAGACCTCTTCTGTCCTGGGGACCATAAAGTTGTGATTCCAGATAGCTATTGGAAAAACAGCTATTTCAGATCCAGCAGTAAACCAAACTGCAATTAAATTTAGCTTTATTTAGTGTTTGTGCTTTTGATTATCCCAAAGCATGTATTTTTAAAATAAAAATGTTTCCAGCTCTATGGCATCCCTGAACATTTAAAGCTGGAAGAAGTAGGGGATGACTCAGAAAACCCTTTGATTCTCACAGGATTCTTTGCTTCAAAATCATGTGTGTTTGAGTTTTAGTGGTGGAGCAGCTGCAGCTTTGCCTGAAAAAGGACTGAGCATCTCTGGCTGTTGGGGAGGCAATGCCCAGCCCTGCTGGGATCACCTGGGGAAGGGCAGCAGAGCTGGATGTTATCCTGATCCATGCCCATGTTTCAGGCCCCGGGTGTGCAGCCCTCACTGGGCTGCTCCTGCACGCCAAGTCAGGGCAGAGCCTGTCAGAGCACGTGGCCCTGGGAGCAGTGTGGCACTGGCACGGGGACAAGCAGGGTCAGTCCTGGCACAGGCTGCACAGGGGCACTGGGCTCCTTCCAGCAGTTCAGGTCTGTTCTGGAAGGGAGCTGGGTCTGTGGGTGACACCTCATCCAAGGCAGAGAGGAGCAGTGGCTGCTCTGCCTCACCTCAGGCACCATCTCACGGGTGCTGCCGCCACACCTGAGTCCCCAGGGAACTGAGCAGAAGCCAAGGGCAAACCTTCCCTTGCCTCTACCCGCAGTCACCTCCTCCTGAGAGCTCTCCCCAAACAGCAGGACGGTAAAGAAAGCATTTCACGTGGTGAGCTGCACTCTGCAGCAATTCCCACAGAAGTTTTATTGCCTGAGCGAGGAAGAACGTGAACCCTAGAGGGAACAACGTGCCAAAGTATTTAACATTTCTTCATCTTGCGTGGAGCTAAAACTTCCCAAAAATCTTTAAAAATAGCTGCAGGGATGTTTGTTCAGGGCCTAAGGCTGGGCTGAGGGGAGTTTGAGATGTGAGTTGGAAGTGGGGAGCAAAGGGTGGTGATGCTGGGGGCCTTCAGGGCTGCTGGACTGGGAAGGTTCCGTGCTCTTCTCAGCATCCCACCTGCACTTCCAGGTTCTGGATCCCTTGTAGGGAGCCTGAAAATGGGGACAACCATTGAGCTGTGCTGATGAGCTGGTGACAAATGGTGTCACTCATAGTACTGCTCCTTCTTTTATAGAAATAATACTCTGAAATCTTCCTCCTGAAAGAACAGGAATCTTGGTGGGTGTGTTAATCACCGAGTGACCAACGCCTGAGCCTGCTCCTGGGACGAGGCCGGCCTGGCATTTACGGGGGGCCCTTCCCTGGCGTCCCGGCAGCTCCGGCAGGGCAGGGCTGGGGCTGAGCCCGGTGCGTGCCCCGAGCCGCGACACCGGCGGCTTCGGGCTACCGGGGCGCTGGCCCCCGCCCAGCACCGCGCTCCGCGCTCCCCCTCGCGGCACCGCTCCGGGAACCCCGAGAGGAGCGGGGCTGCGGGGAACCGGGGCTGCCCGGAGGAGAGGGGCTGAAGAGAACCGGGGCTGCCCGAGAGGAGAGGGGCTGCCCGGAGAACCGGGGCTGCCCGGGGGGAACGGGGCTGCGGGGAACCGGGGCTGCCCGGAGGAGAGGGGCTGCCCGGAGAACCGGGGCTGCCCGGAGGAGAGGGGCTGCGGGGAACCGGGGCTGCCCGAGAGGAGAGGGGCTGCGGGCAACCGGGGCTGCCCGAGAGGAGAGGGGCTGAAGAGAACCGGGGCTGCCCGGAGGAGAGGGGCTGCGGGGAACCGGGGCTGCCCGAGAGGAGAGGGGCTGAAGAGAACCGGGGCTGCCCGGAGGAGAGGGGCTGCGGGGAACCGGGGCTGCCCGAGAGGAGAGGGGCTGAAGAGAACCGGGGCTGCCCGGAGGAGAGGGGCTGCGGGGAACCGGGGCTGCCCGAGAGGAGAGGGGCTGCGGGCAACCGGGGCTGCCCGAGAGGAGAGGGGCTGCGGGGAACCGGGACTGCTCGAAAGGGGCTGCGGGGAACCGGGGTTGCCCGGAGGAGAGGGGCTGAAGAGAACCGGGGCTGCCCGGAGGAGAGGGGCTGCGGGGAACCGGGGCTGCCCGAGAGGAGAGGGGCTGAAGAGAACCGGGGCTGCCCGAGAGGAGAGGGGCTGCGGGGAACCGGGGCTGCCCGGGGGAACGGGGCTGCCCGGAGGAGAGGGGCTGAAGAGAACCGGGGCTGCCCGGGGGAGCGGGGCTGCGGGGAACCCGAGCTGCCCGAAAGGGGCTGCGGGGAACCGGGGCTGCGGGGCTGCCGGTGTGTGCGCGAACGGCCGCGCTCCGGGCAGGGCGCGGGGAAGATGCTGAGGCGGCTCCGGCTGCGGGGCCAGAGGCCGCGGGCGGGCCCCGAGGGGCCGGGCCGGGACCCGCCTCTGCCCGCCGCCCCTCAG